TCACTCTGTACAATGGTACATGGTGAAACCACCATACCACTGCAAGAATTTAAAGTATTATGCTTGTGAACTGTGATTTGATTGTTATCAATGGAAGTAAGATGGGAAAGATTATGAGCTTGTGCTGCATTCTGAACTGTAATGATGCACGCACCGCTTCGAAGAGCGTGAAAGGATATATTTTGGTCAGCGTGTCATAAAAGAGCTTTACCAATACTATGGTCAGAAAGATAATCAGTTGGACATGTCAGATATAGGGAAAAGAATTTAGTCCACTGTGTACTTGTAAATAAGATGCATGAAAGAAGTGGGAGTCGCATAGGTCATTTTTGGATGGAATGAGAAGACATCAAAGAACCGTCGTCAGCAAATGGTCTGGAACATTTAGGCGTAGTACCACGGGCGGCCCGACCTGAGGTAGATGGGCGATCCGAAAACCGTCACACCACATTTGGAGAAGCCGGACACATAGTTAAAGGCGTGAAAGAGGTAGAGGCACTAGCAGAAACGGGTGGACCCTCAGCACCTGGAGCAGGTGACGAAGCATCACCAGCAGATGGTACAAGAGTATGGGAAGAGTCAGGACAATGGTCCAATAAAAAAGTGGGCCAGAACAGGATGCAGGAATTAGACCCTAATTAGGAATTAGGGTCTAATTCCTAATTCCCCTTCAAGGAACCCCCCTTGAAGGGGAATAAAATGGGAAAACGTGTATACAGTAGTGGTTGTAAATGTTCTAATAGGTCTGAAAATGTTTGTTTTGTAAAGCAGCAACAACAGTAATAACTGTAAAAATTGGATTATAAATACCATGGATACTGCTACACTAGCTCCAAAGATAGTAGGTACAGTTGCGACAGATTGGGAAGTATGCACGGGCTTCTGACTTAGCAGTAGTGGTAGTGTAGGAGAACTCAGAGACAGATGTTGTGCTCCGTTTTCTCAACAAAAACGGTACGAAAGCCTTACCTACATTATTCCCTCCATGGCTTGTTGACATGAGAGCGCCTTATTGTATGTTAATTTCTAACTGCGTGCTGATCCTTGCAGTATAGTTGTTGGTAAGAGTTGTGGCATTTGGGGGAAAGGCGAAAAGATAATTATTTTTATGTGAATCATTGATAATGTGGGCAATAGGTCCAACAAATATGTACATTCCACGGTTGTTCTGTTATTTGTGAGGTGGATCATTCTTCATCTGGTCCTGTCGTTCTTTTGGTGTTTCAGATATTATTATTATAATCATGGGGAGCGCTAAACCCGTAAGATTATACAGCTCATGTGGGGGGAGGGGGTGGAAGGTATTCAGATTCAATTCAGGGAACTGGAGCACAGATCCAATTCCCTAGATCAAGAGCCCCTCACCAGAGTCAAGGAACCTCCCTTGAGGGGCGTTGCAGTTGTGTTGTGTGTGAGTGTATGTATTTATAGTTTTTAAGTATACAGGGACAATCAAACACAGAAAAATGAAGAATGGACTGTCCAATGTTGTTGGAGGTGTTTACAAGGTCCCCTTCACTATGATTCACTTTTTCCATGTAGGACAATCAGGAACATTGCTGGAAGTTAGAGTATCATAGCATGATTACTTGGTCAGAATGACACGGAAAGTCAAATGCAATTTTTAGATAAGATGAAGGTTGTAATTATCCACTGAACTTGCCAGAAACTCAGGTCATTGTCTGCAACGGTTTCATCATGGAGAGAAGCAAAACAGATTTTTCTCTTATTAAACATGATGCCCATGCTTTGTTCAGCGTGAATTAAGGGTTATACAAATTGGATCCTTATTTAGTCAATAGTCCATAATTTCAGACAAGCGTTTTTCACAAAAATCTCTGGAAAGTCTTTATGCAACGTTGCCCCACCATAAGTGATAGCTTTTGGAACAGCCTAGCATTATGCTGGCATCTCCCGGGCTAGTCAGTCTCGCTAGTTGTCCATCGAACTACCTCCTGCTATGTCAGGAAGCAGAAGATGGGAAAAGGAAAAAGTGTCAGATAAAATCTATCGTTGGATGCATAGAATACACGAAGAAGATAAAAAAAATCAGAGGATAGGAGGTACTCCCGCGAAAAACGAGGTCCAATCAAGCAATTCTTAACATGATAAACCAACTCCATTTCTTCTTTTACGTAATTAATTTTTTGCAGCCACATCTACTCGAATCTTGACTGCTTCTCGAGCTCTCTTTCTCCCATTTTCAGATGAGGTCATTGTTATTGTTTCATCTGTAGTCTGGCTGACTATTCACTTTCCTCATTCCATTACTTGATTTTTATCTGAAAGAAAAACTTGGAATCAGTTTTTGTAATATAGACATTATTTAAGCAAACTCTCTAAATAACAGCACTTTGTATTTAATACAAACTAAAAGAAAGTTGTAATATACATTTAATACCAGAAAATCACAATTTCATATCTGTGTGATCCTTTACGACAATTTATTTCTAGATAATTACATGAGGTCAATTTGAAATAAAATTCGACTCTCAAAAGATTTTCAAACCTTAAAATTTAATTCACTAAGAATTAATATATATATATATGTATATATATATATATATATATATATATATATATATATATATATATATTATATATATATATATATATATATATATATATATATATATATATATATATATATATATATATATATATATATATATATATATATATATATATATATATATATATATATATATATATATATATATATATATATGTATATATATATGACGTTAGCATGCGAAGTAAGAGTTGTAAGGAGCATGGTTAAAATTGGGTTGCAGTTATTTGAAAGAAGGCGTCTAAAAAATACTCTTACAGCCTATCGTGATGTCTGCCCAACTTTTTCGGCTTCTCTAATAGGTATCTTAAAAAGCACTCTTGGTTACACAAATCAGAACAGAAAATTTTGCGGTACTTTGTTGCCAAAGACGGAATACAGTTCTTCGTCTTATATTTAATAGATTATTTTTTAACATGCATATTCCAAATCCTGTGGGTATTTTGCGGCTACCAGACTGACATACAACCGTTCCTGTTTCTTTACCATGATATCCTATAAAAAATGTTGCAACATTAATCGTCTTACAGTACCGAGGCGTTTTTCTAAATTCTACAACTTATCACCGTTATTTACGTAGAAATTTACAGGTCAAATACATGTTACAATGCAAAAGGCAAATATATACATTCTGACTCACGAAATCGTAATGACACGATTGCAAACAAACCATACCACGGGCGGGATTTGAACCCGCGGTCAGAGAGTCTCAAAACTCCAGACCGTCACGTTAGCCACTGGACCAGCTAGCCACGATAAGATTCATCCAACTAGGTATATTCTCTTATGTATAAATCAAACATTATCGTTATCGAGCTAACATTAATCATCAAGATATATTGTTGCCATAATAATAACCCCTACCACTGTCATTATCACTTACTACCACTGTCATTATCACTTACTCCAGTTAGTGTCATCTTAGGAACATTACTTATTACAACACCGTAATTACCATTACTGTTAACTTAGCAATCACCACCACAACTTACAACGCCGTCACCACTGTCATTACCATCACCACCACTACCATCACAACCACCACAACTTACAACGCCGTCACCACTGTCATTACCATCACCACCACTACCATCACAACCACCACGACTTACAACGCCGTCACCACTGTCATTACCATCACCACACTACCATCACAACCACCACAACTTACAACGCCGTCACCACTGTCATTACTATCACCTCTAATACCATCACAACCACCACAACTTACAACGCCGTCACCACTGTCATTACTATCTCCTCTAATACCATCACAACCACCACAACTTACAATGCCGTCACCACTGCCATTACCATTACCACCACAACTTACAACGCCGTCACCACTGTCATTACCATCACCACAACTACCATCACAACCACCTCAGCTTACAACGCCGTCACCACTGTCATTACCATCACCACCACTACCATCACAACCACCACAGCTTACAACGCCTTCACCACTGTCATTACCATCACCACCACTACCATCACAACCACCACAACTTACAACGCCGTCACCACTGTCATTACTATCACCTCTAATACCATCACAACCACCACAACTTACAACGCCGTCACCACTGTCATTACCATCACCACAACTACCATCACAACCACCACAGCTTACAACGCCGTCACCACTGTCATTACCATCACCACCACTACCATCACAACCACCACAGCTTACAACGCCGTCACCACTGTTATTACCATCACCTCTAATACCATGACAACCACCACAACTTACAACGCTGTCACCACTGTCATTACCATCACCACCACTACCATCACAACCACCACCACAACTTACAACGTCGTCACCACTGTCATTACCATCACCACCACTACCATCACAACCACCACCATAACTTACAACGCCGTCACCACTGTCATTACCATCACTACCACTACCATCATAACCACCACGATTTACAACGCCGTCACCACTGCCATTACCATCACCACCATTACCATCACAACCACCACAACTTAGAACGCTGTCACCACTGTCATTACTATCACCAGCGAAACTACAAAACTTTTATCACTACAACTGTACTATTATTACTACAAAGAGCATCATTATCACCATAAACACCATTATTGTTGAGAAATGATTTACCAGCTAAGGTTAAAGATTAAATATAGGGGGAACTTAGCTTGATAGACAGTTTTCACCTACAAAGGCGCCCATGCAGGTCTTGAGAAGTTGTCGTAGCCACTTCTCAATGGGCTGTTGGAAATAAATTACCCTTTGGGGGTATTATATCATCATATTTCATTAACTGATTACTGACTGGAAAACTTACTTGTGTGGACTCAAAGATCCGTTCCTCACCGGGGTTTATGATAAGTTACTAGATCGTAATTTTATTCTCAACTGCGCAGTCAATAGAACTCGAATACGTCTTAGTACACTTACCTGGATATGTGTATCTGACCCGTAGTTACACCAGGATATCCGATGACTTGATTGAAGAATTTTGTTCTTTGAAGAATGTTGCACTACACTCTGTTGGATCGCAACACTCGTTACACTGTTCATCAAGATTTGCTCATTTATTCACAATCTGTTTACTAAAGAAGCTGATCATACTTCTCTGTGTTTATTGTGTTTTGTGAGACACTTCTTTGTAAACACTAACGCACAAATCAGTGTTCTTTGTTGGTTATTCTGGCATCAGTGTGAGTCCCAGTCAGGTCAAAAGAAATTTCAAGATGCCACAGCCTCCTACAACACCACTGCCCCTAGCACATGAAGGAAAAGCTGACTAAGTACATTTTGCCAAACTTCCACTATGAAGCAAAGCAAAATGCTTGATTCTTGCTGTCTTAAGCATAGACAACAATGTACATTATCTTTACCATTGTAATATAGTGGGAACAGGATTTTCCTTAATTGTCCTGCTTAGGTAAGAGATGGACTTTCTCTTGTTAAACTAAACTACTTGCAACATCGACCTCTTGCAAGGAGCCGTGGCCACGTGACCACGTCACATGCTCGTCCTGCATCTGGGACCATTTACTTGCTGTAACAGTAAACAAAATGCTTGCCCCTTCTGAGAAGGCTGGGCCCCTCAGGGCTGAAAGGGGATGAAAGGGGCTAAAAGGAGCTAATACCCCCCTCCTGGAGAAAATTTCTCCACAATTATCGCTACCAACACTGATACCATCATTGCCGTTTCCTTACCATCATCAGTGTCATTGCAATGACAATTATGTCCACAACCATCATTATCTCCACCACCATTTCCATTTCTACAGTTACTTCCTTGACCCCTTCATTACCATCATAAACACGTGTACCACCTCCAGCAGTACCACCCATACCACCTACCACACAACCGGTATTACAAAGATAACCACAATCATTACAACCTCCATCATCACCACTGTTATATTACACGATAAAAATGCTCCTGATAAGCGAAATGTATCTGAAATGTTTCATTTGTTCCTCTTGTGACTATTTCCCTCTTCAACCTCATTGTTACCACTGCTAAAATTACCACTACCACTGCTATCATTGCAATCATCATAGCTTTATCATCAGCACAATCATTTCCACCACTGTCAGTACCACTCCAATTATATCTACAACCAGTATCATTACTAACACCACTACTGTCGTTGCTACTACTAACATTGTTAGCATTATCATTGCCACCTGTGTCGTGCGCCGAGTATGTTCCATTTATTCGAAGTTCCTCCCACACCCACTGGCATGCCCCATCTCGACCAGCGAATTAGCAGTTCAAAATATAGTAGTTCTGGGGTCCCACTGCCGGCTCCCCAGTCAGGGTGATGTTGTGGCTGTCTGCCTGGCTGTGGTTCAGACTCTCGCTTACACTGGTCCAGACCACTCCTCTTGTAATGAGTTGCTTTTTGCTTTGTCCTATCGTTATGCTGCTAATTTTACTTTGTAAATATTGTATGTAGTGGTGATAAGGGGATTCATAGTTAGGTTATTTAATCGAATGAAGGGGAAGGTTGAGTTGGGGGAGAAGCAGGCAACAGCAGTTGTAGTGTTGGTCCCGATGGGGAAGGGGCAGCCCACCCTCCGGGAGTACCGAGCCATATCACTGCCATGTGCAGACTATAAGGTTTTTGCAAAAATCTTAGGTAATAGGTTTCAATGTGTTGTGGGGAGGGTGGTTTCAAAATCTCAGTTTAGGCTGTCTGGAAGGTCGATGACTGAAGGACACAGGATACTTAGAAGTTTTCTGGAGTCAAAAGGAGGGGGTGGGGGGGGGGTTGGCTTTAATGGCTCTAGACTGGCAGGGAGCTTATGATAGAGTGGAAAGGAGAGCTTTGCAGGTTATACTTAGGAGACAGGGTTATGGGGAGGAAATAGTCAAATGGGTAAATGCATTGTATAAGGGGGCTAAAATGAGGGTACAGATTAATGGGTGTAGGGGAGGGAGATTGCAATGGGCAGAGGACTTAGACAGGGATGCCCCATGTCCCAGATATTGTTTGCGTGTTTCCAGGACCCCTTTTATAGAATGGTTGAACGTAGTTTATGTACTAATGGTGAGGAGGGGGGAGAGGGTCTGGCCGGGATTAATAGGTTATGTAGATGATACAACTGTTCTGGTACGTGAAGGGATGTCAATGAGAGTTTTGGATGATGTGCAATTGTTTGGACGTGCCACGGGAATGCAGGTAAACAGTGAGAAGTTAATGGTCATGGGGTTGGGTAATTGGGTGGGGGGTGAGATGTAATGTAGTTAAAAAATGGGCGGTGTCTTTAAAGATTTGTGGTATTATTTATAGGGATGACATGGTTGCGGCGCGTGTGGAAAACACGGATAGGTTGTTGGAAATAATCGTGGGGTGTCTAGGTGTTTTGAGACCCCAGCACCTAACTCTTGTACAACGAGTGATAGTCGTAAATGTTTTATTGTATGGTAAGGTTTGGCATGTCGCGGCTTTGTTCCCAATTACAGGGACAGCGATTGCGGGGATCTTAAGACGGGTGTTCAAATTTTTGTGGGGTTCAAGTTGCGAGTGGTTAAGGAGAGAGTTTGTAATGTTACCTGTACGTCAGGGTGGGTTGGGGTTGATGGATCTGAGAAGGAGGGCTAAATGTGTGTTTCTTAACTGGGAAGTTTTGCGTGTGGGTGTGAAGGCGGGGCAGTTGGATAGGATACATGATAGGCTGGGTATGTGGTATGGAGGTGTGGAGTTGCGGGAATGCAAAATCGTTTTGAGGGCTTTGATGTTGGTTAAGGAACTGAGAAATGTTCGAATAAGGGTTTTGTGTAGGTGCGTTGTCCCAGTTGAGGGTTTGTTTCCCATGTATACGTGGAAGAGCATTTGGTATAGATTTAGTAAGCTGAAGTTAAACCCTAGGGCGTGTGAAGTGATGTTTCGTTTTCTGCATGGTATCCTTCTGTCAGGAGAGATACTAAGAACCAGAAAGGTTGTAGAGGGTGTGTGGCACGCAAAGAGTATGTAACCTTCATTCGGCGCATGTACACACCCTCATTTACAGGCTATCTCCCCCAACCAGCGAACCAGGTTACTGAGAGTTGATGATGGGGCCCCGTCGTTCAACTAGTGACCAGGTTCCAGCCAATAAGAAGATGGTTTTTGGCAATCGCAGAAGTTATGTGGGTACCACTTTCCTGTCTGCCCTTGTCATTTCCATTCTAGAGCTGGTTGAAGCACGGTCTGCTATCTTGTGGCTTCTATTTCTGCCTTGCTTACCGTGGAGTGCACTAATAGCTATCACTGTATATAGTGTACATATTGCTGTTCTAAACTGGTGAAGGATAATATAAATCAAAACTTTTCTGCTGTGTTTATTTTGCTCCCTTTACACCCAGGATAACAGGCCATTTGGACTCCTGGGTTGTAATAGGGTGGTGGGTGTGGTATCTGTGGAGGGGATGAGACTGCGTTCCATGTAGTTTATTTTTGTGAAGGGTTAGAGGTGGTCAGGTGCTGGTTGAGTAGGGTGGTACAGAGAGTGGGAGGCCGTGGGGTGCCGGTTCTGAGAGCTTTAAGCCTAGATATTGGAGGATTAGATGAGGGTGTCATAAGAGCTTTAGATTATATCATGGTAGATTATATATATATATCGTGGGTGAGGAGGGGGGGGGGATAGTGAAGAGCGGAGGAGGGTTCTTGCGATAACGTTCTATCGAACGATGTGTCGTAACAGGGAATTGTATGGAGGGAGGTGGGATCAGGTTTTCTCTGAAGGGTATAGAATGTTAATGCTAGGAATACTCGTGAATCTGTGAATAATAATGAGTGTGTGTAAAGTAAGGGGTTTTCTTTTTATGTTAGGGGTTTACATAGGTAGAGAGGAAGTCAGGGGGTTACAGAGGGCTCGTCTCCTGATAGGGGAGGGGCGAGAGTGTTGTGAATGTGGGTATGGACTGGTTTCCAGGTATTTATAGATGCTTTATGCTCAACCTTGAGGTTTTCATGCCACGGGTGGATGTGGAGCTTGAGGGCTCGATGTGATCTTCATAAGTTTTTTCATGAATGTACGTGTTATCTCGAAGGATTTTTGTTTATGCATTTTTGGAAGCATATTTTGGTCGTGTATGACACGATTCTTGAGTAATATGTTCTTCGAGTCATGGAGTGGTTTTTTTTTTTATTTTTAGTTTGTATTTTTGACATGTGTTAGGTGTTTGTATGTTGAGATATACTTATATACTGCTTTTTTTTGGGCGTATCTGCGCATATGTTTTATGTGATTCTTGAAACATTTTTTTTTCTGCATATTCCTTTCTTTTGTAATAAGCTTTTGTCATATTCTAAGATTTATGTGAAACTTTTATATATGTTGGTTCTGTCTCATTTAAAGCTTATATAATTCAGGTCATAACCCTGGTACCGTTCTGCTGTTAAGTGCTATGTTGTTGATGTCAGTTTTTGCTGTATGGTTCAGTTATATCTAACGAGTTTATAGATGCAAACCTTTTGTGTCAGATTTTTTTTTTTTTTTTAATAGTCAATGAGTTTTGGTTTGGAGATTATGATATTTTTTTTTTTTTTTTTAATCACACTGGCCGATTCCCACCAAGGCAGGGTGGCCCGAAAAAGAAAAACTTTCACCATCATTCACTCCATCACTGTCTTGCCAGAAGGGTGCTTTACACTACAGTTTTTAAACTGCAACATTAACACCCCTCCTTCAGAGTGCAGGCACTGTACTTCCCATCTCCAGGACTCAAGTCCGGCCTGCCGGTTTCCCTGAACCCCTTCATAAATGTTACTTTGCTCACACTCCAACAGCACGTCAAGTATTAAAAACCATTTGTCTCCATTCACTCCTATCAAACACGCTCACGCATGCCTGCTGGAAGTCCAAGCCCCTCGCACACAAAACCTTCTTTACCCCCTCCCTCCAACCTTTCCTAGGCCGACCCCTACCCCCGCCTTCCTTCCACTACAGACTGATACACTCTTGAAGTCATTCTGTTTCGCTCCATTCTCTCTACATGTCCGAACCACCTCAACAACCCTTCCTCAGCCCTCTGGACAACAGTTTTGGTAATCCCGCACCTCCTCCTAACTTCCAAACTACGAATTCTCTGCATTATATTCACACCACACATTGCCCTCAGACATGACATCTCCACTGCCTCCAGCCTTCTCCTCGCTGCAACATTCATCACCCATGCTTCACACCCATATAAGAGCGTTGGTAAAACTATACTCTCATACATTCCCCTCTTTGCCTCCAAGGACAAAGTACTTTGTCTCCACAGACTCCTAAGTGCACCACTCACTCTTTTCCCCTCATCAATTCTATGATTCACCTCATCTTTCATAGACCCATCTGCTGACACGTCCACTCCCAAATATCTGAATACATTCACCTCCTCCATACTCTCTCCCTCCAATCTGATATTCAATCTTTCATCACCTAATCTTTTTGTTATCCTCATAACCTTACTCTTTCCTGTATTCACCTTTAATTTTCTTCTTTTGCACTCCCTACCAAATTCATCCACCAATCTCTGCAATTTCTCTTCAGAATCTCCCAAGAGCACAGTGTCATCAGCAAAGAGCAGCTGTGACAACTCCCACTTTGTGTGTGATTCTTTATCTTTTAACTCCACGCCTCTTGCCAAGACCCTCGCATTTACTTCTCTTACAACCCCATCTATAAATATATTAAACAACCACGGTGACATCACACATCCTTGTCTAAGGCCTACTTTTACTGGGAAAAAATTTCCCTCTTTCCTACATACTCTAACTTGAGCCTCACTATCCTCGTAAAAACTCTGCACTGTTTTCAGTAACCTACCTCCTACACCATACACTTGCAACATCTGCCACATTGCCCCCCTATCCACCCTGTCATATGCCTTTTCCAAATCCATAAATGCCACAAAGACCTCTTTAGCCTTATCTAAATACTGTTCACTTATATGTTTCACTGTAAACACCTGGTCCACATACCCCTACCTTTCCTAAAGCCTCCTTGTTCATCTGCTATCCTATTCTCCGTCTTACTCTTAATTCTTTCAATAATAACTCAGCAGACTTATCCCCCTATAATTTTTGCACTCTCTTTTATCCCCTTTGCCTTTATACAAAGGAACTATGCATGCTCTCTGCCAATCCCTAGGTACCTTACCCTCTTCCATACATTTATTAAATAATTGCACCAACCACTCCAAAACTATATCCCCACCTGCTTTTAACATTTCTATCTTTATCCCATCAATCCCGGCTGCCTTACCCCCTTTCATTCTACCTACTGCCTCACGAACTTCCCCCACACTCACAACTGGCTCTTCCTCACTCCTACAAGATGTTATTCCTCCTTGTCCTATACACGAAATCACAGCTTCCCTATCTTCATCAACATTTAACAATTCCTCAAAATATTCCCTCCATCTTCCCAATGCCTCTAACTCTCCATTTAATAACTCTCCTCTCCTATTTTTAACTGACAAATCCATTTTCTTTTTATGTCTATTTATTATTTGCTCATATGTAATCCTGTATTAGCTTTAAACAAAATATAAAAAAAAAAATCATCGTTGTCCCTCATACTGCCCAATACCCCTTCACCCTTCCCTCCTCTGCTGCGCTGTATGACCCTTGTAGGTTTAGCACTTCTGTTTTTATTATAATAATGAAACCGCTCTCATTAATACATCATATTCATTGCCACCAATACAGTAGCCACTGTCATTACCCTTACCACTGGAATTACCACCACAACTATCATAATCATCACCACCCTGTCATAATTTCTACTGCCGTCATTACCACCACCACCATAATCGTTATTGCAATCATCTCCATTACCACCATAATCAACATTTCTACTACTACTATCTTAAGAAACTATCATTACCACCACTGTTATTACTGCTACTAACACCACTTACGACACTAAGACAATCATTATCAATGCCACCGTTTTTAGCACCACTATAGTCATTCCTACCCGTGTATCCATGTGGCCATTGTCATTATTTGCACTACTGTCATAATCATACTATTATCTTCTTTACCACTACGACTATTACCTCCATCACTTCCATTACCACCACAACCATTGCCACCTCCATCACTTCCATTACCACTATAACCATTGCCATCTTATTTTTACAGCAGTCATGGTCATTACCCCAACGACCATCTTTCTTATAACTAGTTACATAATCACCACCACTTACATTACTAGGAATAATTATCACAGTTACTACCATCAATGTCATTCCCACTATCATTACCACTGTCATTACCACTATCTTCATAGTCCTTCACACCACCACTATCATTATCTCTCCTACATAATTACCCCTCCACTATCGTTCGACAACCACCACTACAACTTCAGCACCGTCGTCACTACCACCACCGTCATTACCACCCTTACAGTCAACATTACCAATACCGTCATTACCACCCTGACAGTCATTACTACCACCAACGACATTACTACCTCCACAATTTCTGCTACAACCGTAATTATTCCCAACAACTACATTTCCACCACCAATATCACCACCACCACCATTATCACCACCACCACCACCGAGGTTAATACCATCACCGTCATTAATACTCTCACCGTCAATAGTAGCAATATCATTTCCACCATCACCTACATTTCCACTCCTACCACCACCGTCGTCAATACTACCCCAACAACCATCCCTACCACCGTCAAAACTGCTACCACCACCATCACCACCGTCACTACTACCACTACCACCGACATTACAGCCCTTACCATCATTACTACCACCACCGTCATTACCACCGCCACTGTTACCGAGGGTAACAATACCCTCTCGCGTCAACAAACTCTCTAAGGACCAAATCCAATATACAATGTGTATTCATTAATTCTCAGCACGATCTTAAAATATCAGTAAACCCTACTTATATCTCTCCCAGTAAAGACAGACCACATCTTTCACGTTTCCTACAGGACAGACACTGCCGTGGCCTGGTAGGCAAAGCTTTCGCTGTTAAATTAGACACATGTGCAACTCTTGGGTATCTTCATTGAGGAAACGTTTCACCACACAGTGGCTTTATCAGTCCATATAAAGGATAAACTTGAAGAACAGGAGAAGAATGAGGTAATCAGTCCCTAAGCCTTGAGTCGATGTGGTCAGTCCATCAATCTTGAATAGAATGTGTCTAATTTAACAACATGTCGGTTATTTGAACCATTCATCTACAAAGCTTTCGCTGCACATGCTGATTGCCTATGGTTCGGCTTCCGGTAAGGGTGTAAACATTGGGAGTGTATCCTTACACGTGTTGTCCCGTTCAACTAGTGTTAGTGACTGGTGTGGGTCGCATCCAGGGGTACAAGATTGAGGACTCCAATGGAAATAAGATAGACAGTCATATTTCCACGAGGCAGATTACAAGGAAATTCAGGTTAAAAAGTCAAAGGATCAGTTCACTGATGGAAGTGGATTAATCAGTAGTGCACCTAAATGAAATTTCAATAATGTTATTTTATATGAAACAATTTGGACAAGACTAATGGAAAAATAAGAGTTGATACTGTGTTTGCCAGTAAGTCTTTAGATGATAAATTAGACACATGTACAACACTTAGGTATCTTTAATGAGGAAACGTTTCGCCACACAGTGGCTTCATCAGTCCATACAAAGGAGAATGGTGAAGAACAGGAGGAGTATCAGGTAATTAGTCCTTCAGCCTTGAGTCGATGTAATCAATCCATCAATCTTGAAAAGAATACAGCATATGTGAGAAGTGCCTTATATACTGTAGGCAGATGATGAGGTGCAGCAGTCGTAGGTGGTAACACATTTGTCCAATGTGGAAGTAGGTCGTGCCCAAGGGTTAGGCAAGTGAAGAATTCCCAACTATTAAGATCCCAAGAAGTTACAGTGTCAACTTGTCGGTTCTCTGAATCATTCATCTACTATCCTGTCTGACACTACAACTTCTTGGGATCTTAATAGTTGGGAATTCTTCACTTGCCTAACCCTTGGGCACGACCTACTTCCACATTGGACAAATGTGTTACCACCTACGACTGCTGCACCTCATCATCAGCCTACAGTATATAAGGCACTTCGCACATATGCTGTATTCTTTTCAAGATTGATGGATTGATTACAACGACTCAAGGCTGAGGGACTGATTACCTGAAACTCCTCCTGTTCTTCACCATTCTCCTTTGTATGGACTGACGAAGCCACTGTGTGGCGAGACGTTTCCTCATTAAAGATACCCAAGTGTTGCACATGTGTCTAATTTATCAATCCTATTGTCTGTCGATATTGGAGTGATGACCTGATTAGCAGTTCCTCGCTCCTACATCTCATTCCTCACTCCTACAATTTAACCCTATTATTCCGACAGATAACCGAATATCAGGAAGTGGAAGGAAGAGACCGAGCAGTAGAAATGGGGCCCCGATTATTAGAGTGGGAAGGATCGAAGCCTCTCCTGCCTATACTAGACACCAATTTTGCTGTCCACCTTTTGGAAGTCATGGCTAAATATGGTGATTCGGTCGCTGTGGTGAGTCATTTATAGCAACAGAGTAAACTGTGTGTCTATGTTCATCGGCTTTTTACATGTGAAATGTAATAAACAAGAGGTAATACGTATGACGGCAAATTATATTTTCATTTTCATTATTAACGCACATTTTGGAAATGAATCTTTTGACAACGTTTTGGGTCCTCCTGGATCATTATCAGATCAGAAAACTAACAAAACTATCTGTTTCTATATCAGCCCTTAACTGACGTCGTCTTGATGAATCAACTTTTATACCTCTTCTAAAAGTAACATTAGACTCGTTACACTTGTTAATCAACGCTTGGCTTTCTTCTCGTCCTAAAAGTAAATCTTCGTGTATATAGACAGATTTGCACTCCTTTCACGTACATATGCACTGTTCTCGTTTTACACAAGTGATATATGCTTATCAGAATATACACTCATTGGCCACTTTGTCAGATACCCCTATACACCTGCTCGTTAATGCAGATATATAGTTCCGCATATCACCTGACAGCACCTCAGTGACTCAGTCGGAGTGTTGATATTGATCAATTCCACTCGTTCGTGGGTACAATAATATAAAATACTGCTCGATGGGCTAGTAAGCCCAACAGGGAGTAGAATGAAATTACCTCAGAGGCATCCACTCCACCGTATGAACTCGGATGACGGGTACAACATCTAGCTTGGCTGGATGCGTCATTCTTGATAATTGTGTGGTCCCGTGGACTGGAGCGTGATCTGTCTTTCGCTCACCATGAGGCGGGCCAAAGCAGCATGGGTTCGACTCCTTGGCTAGTCGTAGTTAGATTATTGATATATATAGCTGGGGACCCTCATCTTCAGAGAAGACAGTAAACGTACCTCGGGGAAAACTCAGTGTTCTCCCCGGAGCTGTTTGAATATTTTTTTTTATCCTACCACCCCCTATATTTTTAAGCTACATGTGAACTTTATTAATAGACAGAATACATTGATAGAAAACACAATATATAAATATATCAAAGGTTATGAATCTCCTCCAGTTCCTCCAAAGCTGGACGTGAGCCCAGTATGCAGCATGCATTTCCCCTCTGGATGGCCATGCTGAGGCGCTGGAACATGAAAGTGGCTGCCCTTGGGTCCCTGGTGGTGTCGATGAGTCTGGAGCCCAGTTCTTTAAGGAAATGTGTGGCATGTTTTCCCCATGATCCCAAGGCCTTTGATCCCACTGGGACAAACTGATACTGTTGGCTTATGTCCCTGTACTTGCTGATCTTGTACTTTCTCCTGTGGTCAACAGCTCCTCCCTGTCGCCCGACACTGTGATGGATATAGGTGTCAGTCAGTGTGGACACACAGGTATAGTCCCATGCTAAGAGCATGCCATTCTTCCAAGGATAGATGGTGATCCCGTTGGGGCAGTTTGCTGGATTGTGGGTATTGTTGGCTGCTAGTGATTGGGCTCCCTCTCAGCTGGGCATCCAGCTGTAGCAAGGGCTCTCTTCATGATGTCGTTGACCTCACTATGTCTTGCATGCCAGCCCTTGGTTTTGGAACAGTTAAGACCATGTAGACCATATTGGTCGGCTTGTGCATTGCCGCAAATACACGTATATTCCGTGTGAATTGGGGCAGCAAGGCGCAGAGCCACTGCAATACGGAGGGTCTTAGAGACAAGGCACGTTCCCATTGCCGATATGGGAACTGTTTGGAGGAAGTCCCCGGAGTGATGTGCACTTACAGTCTGGAGATGGGCAATCTCCCTGTCTGATGTTGCAGCCCTGAGCATATTGGCAAGCACCTTTACACCGATGGGGCCATCCCAGCTTGACATTTTGTAAGCCAGTGCTGCACTAGGGTTTGGTGTTGGAGCAGCAAAAGTCTCCCATTCATTGACGGCACTGTATTCCTGTATTCCTGATGAGCCACTGAGGTTGTTAGGAAGAATTTGTCTTATTAGCTCGTTTGATGCTATGGAAGAGGATAGGAAAGCTGGCAGGGCAATCTGGGAGGATCTGCATACTCCCAGCCCCCCAAGCCTGACTGGAAGTGAGGCTTGCAACCACTGTCCATCTTCAAGGGAAAGATTCAATACACTCTCAATCAAGTTCTTAACGAGAGAGTCATATTCCTCGAGTTTCGGACTGCTGAAGCCTGGGGAGCATCTCAGGAAGTAGGTAAGTTTTGGGATTGACAGGCACCTGGTGAGTAGGTAGAAGGCATCATGTGTATCAATGTCTTTCATCCTGCCTTCCATCATCCGGAGGTCTGAGATTTTTTTCTAGGATCAGATCGATGGCATTGGACCCAAGAGGAGCGCCAAGGAGAGTGCTATTGGCTGGATCAATGGCTCGTGCTCCTGGTAAAACAGCACTAATATCCTGGATCATCTGTTGATTGGTAGAAACTATTTCACATTTGGTGGGGTTTAAAGATAGGCCCAGGCTTTCTCCCATGTCTTTAATTTTTCTGATGTCTTCTAGGAGATATTCTGTTGTGCCAGCTAGGATACCATCATCCAAGAACCAGATATTGAGCTCACTGGAGAGTGTTTCTGTGACTTCCTTGATGACCAAACAGAATAGAAAGGGGGCGAAAGGGTCCCCCTGTTGCACACCCTCACATGAGTCAATTCTGTGGTCCCCAAACAATAGTTTAGAAGTCGCACTATAACACGATTCTGTGAAGGGCTAGAGGGAAGGGAAATTTCCAGAAACTGCTTGGAGAGCAGCATCCCTTCTAACTAAGTTGAAAGCGTTGACGAAGTCCAATTTGATCAAAGCTTTTTCATCGGACATGTTGTTGATGTATACTCGTGCTGCATGGGCAGCTGCTTCACAGCCTTGTTGAACACCAAAACCGAGCTGAGATGGTTTCAACATTGCAGCAGCTTCTTGACTCACCCATCTTACTGCTGCCTTGGCAACTAGGCGTCGAGATGTGTTGCCCACTGCAATGGGCCTGAGTCCTCCATCCTTTTTCTGGAGGGTACACAATGAGGCACCAAAGAAAAGAGATCTAATGGCCTCTGGGACAATGCCAGCCAGGCACAGGTTGGAAAATTTGGTGAGTTCAGACAGCAACCTCTCTGAAACATCACCAAGTGCTGGATTGAGAATTTGTTTTAGATGTTGAGATCTTAAACCGGTGAAACCTCTTGCTGAGCCCTTTGGAAATGACATAGCAGCTTTATACACATCAGCATCCTATAAGGTTAGATGTTCTTCACCTGCTGTAATGTCGGGGAGGTCAATGTTGGTACTGGAAGCCCTGGGTGGATGTTTGTCCTTCAGAGCTTGTGCCGTACTGACGTCCTTAAGAGCGATGGTATCTTCACTGGTTATAAGCCTCAGTGCTCCAATAGTATTACCCTCTTCTATTTTTTTGCTAATTTGGGCTCTGATTTTTGAGGCCTCGGGTGTCATGTTGCTGGCATTTCCCCGGCGGGTGTTTGTCGCCCTAGGAGGGAGACGGACGAGGTTGTCATTTCTATGGACTGCATTTGTTGCTAGCGACTTATCCCTCCTTGGTGGGACAGCCAAACAGGCATTGCCAAAAAGTAGCAGGTTGTGCCAGGATCCGTTGTTTGAAGGAGGTCAGTGAATTTGCTAGCAGCTTGATGGCGAGCTGCTTTGGGAATGTGTCAGAGTCCTGGTGGATGTTAATTTGATTGCAGATTTGAGGTCCTCTGCAGAGGTGAAGTCACGGTAGCTGTTAGCTCGGTCTGCTGGAAGGGGCTGTTGATTATTCCCATTTGGAGCTCTCCTGGAGCCTAGACATCCATTGTGTGCACGGATGTTGCCAGTTGTGGGATTGAGTGCATATTTCCTGTGGCACACCTGGCAGATACTTCGTGAACGACGGCTTTGACTCTGTCGTGAAGTTTCCTGGGAACCCAGGACTTCTTGTGACATTGCTGACATCGTGGGGGTGGGAGGGCGCCAGCTGTGGGGTAACGGGCGAGTGAGAGCATGGATGCATGGGGGCTGAGGGTGGGGGAGTAGCGAGCGGCAGGGCGAGCAATTGGTGGGGCACTAAACGGCAATACCCTTGGTCAGGAAGTCAGTGGGCCTAGGCTGGGATGTGGGGAGGGGACCAGGGATGGGTGGGGGAGGGAGGGGCCCTGTGTGTTCACTAAAGATTCACATCACTGACTAATTTTTGCTAATTGTTATACACTCATTATTCAATTTAGAAAAAACCCTCGCCATTTGGCACACTAATCACCATGCTCTCACTATTAACCAAGGTCTGATGTAGAGGATTGTCACAACTCTATAATCTCCGGTGCATACTCACGATGATGTCTGCCGAAACTGGCCCATGTAAACCATGGGCCAGTTTAACAATTCGCAAACAGGCGAAATTATTCACATTGTCTCCACGTCCACAGCAGGACTCGAACCTGCTAACACTGGATCAGAGTCCACACTTCTATAACACTGAGTTAGACCCAAGATAAGTATGGGCATCCAGCCGGAGCCTGACGATGTTTCCCCATACCCCCGGGCACCAAGCTCGTTTTGAAAGTTATTTCGCGAATTGTTAAGCATTTCAAATCTCTTTCGTTGTCCACTGCACGTGGCAGGATTCGGTGAAATAACGTTCAAGACGAGCTTGGTGCCCGGGGGTATGGGGAAGCATCGTCTGGCTCCGGCTGAATGTCCATACTTATCTTGGGTCTGGCTACTTGGTAGAGTACTGTGGACTGACACAGAGTTAGCAGGCTCGAGTCCTGCTGTTGACGTAAAGACAAAGTTTGTGAATATATATATATATATATATATTATATATATATATATATAATATATATATATATATATATATATATATATATATATAATATATATATATATATATGCAATAAGATCACAGTAAACAGGTGATTTCAGAATATGCAAAACAACCACTCTGAAAGAATAGAGAAATTCCAAGCGCTTTCGTGACTACTCACATTATCAAGGAACTAGTTCCTTGATAATGTGAGTAGTCACGAAAGCGCTTGGAATTTCTCTATTCTTTCAGAGTGA